ATATATATATATATATATATATATAGAAATTTATTTTACAATTTACAACGATTATAAATTGTTAAATAAAATCATTCACAAATTCTTTTGTATAAATTTTCTTCAAAATGCAGTACAGTCTAAGTAAAATAAAAAAAAAAAGTGGTTTAATGTGTTAATATGTGTTCTTTAAGCATAGTTTTAAATTGTCTACGTTTTTTTTTAATTATTTCTGTGTTGTAATCGTTTCATTAAATTCTAGCTCATTTCTCCTATATAAACTAAAGTACAATCTAGGCAATTAATTTTATAGACGATTTCTAAATCTATGTCGTTCGATGTTAAGAAGGGTTATAGTAAAAAATAGTGTTAGGTATTGTAAACAAAAATCTAGTTTTTTAAAAAAGTATTTCAGAATCTGGAATGTATTTTACACTGATTTGCTCTACGAGTAAAATTTAAAAATTTATAATAATTCGTGTGTTAAATTTAGAATCTTCGAATTTCAATTTGTTATACTTTGATGTGTCTACTATAACAAAAAATACTAAAATCGGTTCAAAAATATCTATTTTAAATTTTAAATTGTTAATGTGTATTCTGAAAGCATAGTTTTAAATTGTCTACGATTTTTTTCAAATTGTTTCTGCATTATAATCAATTCATTACATTCTGGCTCGTTTCTCCTATATAAATTAAATTGCAATCTAGGCAATTCATTTTATAGACTAGATTGGTAAGTTGTTCGATGTTAAAAGGGGTTTTTGTTTTAATAATTGTGCTAAAGTTAAACTGATGAGTTTTCTTTAGAAATATCTAGCAGAGTCTGGAAGGTATTTTCGATGGACGTGTAGGATTAAAAAATTCATAATGATTCCTGTGTTAGATTTAGAATCTTATAGTTTTACTATTTTATACTTTAATATCTCAACCATAATAACAAATACTAAAATTGATGTGCCTTCAAAGAATATTGAGATATTAGAAACAAATCTTAATAAAGTACATTGTTTTTCATACACTCTTTACTTAAATTTGGAAGTCCCAAGTAAATTGGGTCTACCCTTATTGTCCAAAAGTGCTGTAACTTCAATATGTTATATTTTAGTATTTCTACTATAACAACAAATACTAAAATCGATAAGTTTTCTTAGAAACTTATAAGATATTAGCAATTGTCCTTGAAAAGTACCCAAGTTTATCATACTCATAGTAAAATTGAAAGGGCATAGTAAGTAAAACCCTCAGTAAACATGGATTATTCAACAATATCATGGTTTGGGCATGTTATACTTAAATATGTCTACTATAATAGCAAATACTAAAATTGATGCATTTTATGGTATATTACGAAATAAAAATTATGTGCTTGAAAAAAGTGCTTAAAAAAATAATTTCAGGCAGTTACATCTACTATTTTTATGATACACATTTATTAAATTTATTATAAATGTGGTGGTCTAACACAATTGACCTGTCTTTGGGGGAGAGCGTCAATAACACACAATATATATATATATATATATATATATATATATATATTATATTCGGAGATACGATACGATATGTTCGATGTGTAAATAGGGGTAGTTTTTATGCTTATTAAACATTTTGTCCATCTGCGCCGATATGGCACAAACCTACCCTAAAATTACATTTATATAAATTATATATATATATATATATATATATATATATATATATACATTCATAAATAATATGCCACGTAAGAAACTAACTGTTGATTTACGTTTGCACGCAACAGCTGTCACTAATGTCCAAAATTCATTTTATATATATATATATATATATATATATATATATATATTGTAGATATTTATCATTATTTGATTGATTGTACAATTTGTAAAAATGATGCGCAATTTTTGTGTCAGTTCTAAAATTCACTGTTGTATTTTTAAATTAGAAGATAAACTTTTCATAAAAATATTTGAGAAACATTGAATGTAAAAAAAGCAAAAGATCTAAAATCAAAATTTTGGAATATCTTTACGTTCCAAGACCTCCTGAACATTTTGGCATACCTTAAAAAAATTGATTAATACGAATGTTTATTTACCATATGGAAAGTTTCAGCGGTTTCCATTAAGACAAAAACCTAATATAACTGCTCAAAGTCAAGTTTGGACCTTTATGCCCCGCCTTACCCTATACCATTAAAATAAATTCTAGCTCAACATAAGTTTGGTTCGTCAGTAAACTTCAATCAAAAGCTGATATGGTCAACATTAATAATTTAAAAAAAACTTGAGGTCTCATACAAGCGCCCTGGGGAACACCAAAACATATCTCGAAGCAATTATTTATATTACTTAATCTTTCATAAGCAATTATTTACCATCATTTATATTACTCAATTTTTTATACTTCACTCAACTTTTAAATATCGATTACCAATTTCGAAACCTTAGAAGTTGCTCGCACATGTCCCATTCCCTAGGGTACATTGACCTTATGAAACAGTAGTCCCGGTAAAAGGGCACGCAGCATGCAACACGTTACGGTATTCTTCAGTGCCTGGTGAGGGTTGGAAGACAACAAGTAACCCTATTTTAATAATTTCTACCTCTGTACTGTTATATTTTGATAGTACCAGGTGCTGGGAAATGGATGGGTAAAGGTTTAGTTTGGTTGGTAGTACAGTTCTTTTTTTAGTTAGAAGGAATAGATATTGTTCATAGAGAAAGCTATAGATTTTGTTAAGGAGTCGATATTCTGTTTGCTTGCTGGTATAGTCATTTTTTAGTTTCCTAAACCGAATAGAATTCAATTTGTTTTTCATAGAGATGGTAATCAGTTTGATCATCAGTACAGTTTCCTTTATTTTTATATTTTTCAAATAAATTTGCTGATGATTAGAGTTCTATTTATATTCATCAGGACGAGATTGAGGTTGCTCCTCAGTCGAGTCCTTTTTTCAGTTGAATCAATTTGTTAATCACCAGATAGTTCCATTTTTCATACTCTGCTTTTAATTTGGTCTGCTACTTAAAGTTCTATTTTCATTATTTTAAATATATACCTATATAACAAATATGTCCGGTTGTTGAAATATTGAAACATCTTAACAATGTAGAATATATAAGTGTTGGAGTGCCACAAGGTTCTTGTTGAAGAACTTTGACAAAAACCAAATTCTGCTTTAAGTCTGCTAGTCAAAGTTCTATTTTTATTATTTTAAATTGTCTCGGTTTGTTAGTAGAGTTCTTTTGTGCAAATTTATTTTTTCATTTTTCCATATATTTATATACCTAAATAACATGTCAGGTTGTTGGAATATTTAAATCTGAACAATGTAGAAATATATACGTGTTGGAGTGCCACAAGGTTCTTGTTGAAGAACGTTGATGAAAATCAAATGTCGCTTTAGCAATGATTTAATATACTATTATCATGAGTCCTCTATCCAAAGGCAGGCCCATGGCGTGAGAGCATCAAATAAAATATAATATAATTCCAATTTAACCCTTAAATTTATTTTATTAAATCAGTCTTTCGTCAGGGTTGGTTTAACAAAAATCAAAATTTATATATGTGCATTTATTATAATTAAGAGAGGGCGCGTGCCATATGGGTTTTTTTTTCAAAAAAATATTTATGCACCCTTTAAAAATTAACGAACCGTTAAGACAAAGATCTTTATCTGTTCGTGTCATATAAAAATCTTATCGGACACGGGCATAAGATTTATACAACTTGCCCATAGGCCAATTTATTTCGTATTTAAGATTTATAACATACAACATATATTTAAAACTTAGAATGTAAATATTATAATAATTTTTACAAAATAGGGGTTTGTGGTAAGATGGTAAAAGTTTAGGTCTATATGTATTTTCTTATACATATTATAAAAAAAAAGAATTGACCCAGAAAATAAAATTAAATTTGCAATATGGTCAACCCCTTCTACTTGGTTTAAATCAAAATATGCAAAAAGTTGTTCGGGAATATACCTGACATTATCCTAAATGTAGTGAGAGCAGACATAATCCATTTATATAAAAATAATTATATATTTATATTATCCTTAATCATTTTTTCAACATAAACACACACGTCATGGGCCCAAAATGCAGGTAAAGGACTGTGGGGAAAAATTCAGGAAACTGAAAGCAAAGAAACCGGACAGAAAAGCAAAAAATGAGAAGGTCAAAAAGTGAAATTTAAACAAAGGGTATGAAATATGGTACTCCAATAT